AAATCATTAAAAAAAAAAAAAAAAATTATCCGCACTCTGGCTGAAGAATTTAATTTAACCAACTTTTGAAAAAGACAGACATCATTTTTGACATAATCTCCTTGCTTTATAACACTTTGTCCACGTAGGCAGATGTGTGAGGACGTGCATTGTAATGCAAGATCACAAAGTCCTTAGATATCAGTCCTCTGAGTTTAATCCCAAATTTAGGCTTCAGCTCTACAGTGAGCATTTCACTGTATTGAGCACTGTTAATTACTGAACCTTTTTTGTTGATAGTGTTCCAATACTGGCCCTTGAAAATCACAGAAAACTATAAGCATCAATTTTCCAGCTGATGGTTGATATATGATGTATTTCTTGGTTGGTGAATGAGGACTTTTCTGTTCCATACTCTGCCATTTACTCTCAGGCTCGTAGTGCTGAATCCATGTCTCATCACCATTTCCCTTCCTTAGAGTACTGGTTCAAATTTTGTTTGCAGATGTCCCAACGCTTCTATTAGCTGTTTCGGTATCCATCTTGCACAAACTTTCTGAAACCCAAATCTGTAGAAGATTACTTCATAGGCAGAGCCATGACTTGCCACAAAATCCCTAGAATCACTTCACGTGCATGCTCAATGTTGTCACCAGCAGAGGCTTTCAATGGGTGTTTTAATGTAACTGGGATGCAGGTAAATTTTTAGTCACCTTGCAGATGATAAAAAAAAATCTGTTAGTCTAGTACTGGGATCATTATTCAATTAGCTCTATGGTAACATTCTAGGTTTTGGCATTTAAACACCAAATAATTACTTCCTCATGCACACTGCTAGACATTTATTAAGACAGTACTACCATTTGATGAATACTAAACAGTTTATAAAAGATTTGAAAAAAATTGCAAGCATCATCTCTGTTCTTAAAGAATTCATCATCTAGTGAAGACATGACAGGAGTCCTGGTTGTACAATGGTTAAAGTGTTTGACTGCTAACCAAAAGGTAAGCTCTTCGAATCCACCATCTGCTCCATGGCAGGACTATGTGGCAGTCAGCTTCCAAAAATATTTACAGCCTTAGAAAATATGGAGGTAGTACTATCGTGTCCTATGGGGTCCCCATGAGTCAGAATCAACTGGACAGCGGTGGATTTGGTGTTGGAAAGAGATAGAGAAATACACATGAAACTGTAATACACGGTGGAGTCCTAGCGTGGCGCTGTGGGTTAATGCGCCAGAATGCAAAGCCGTTTGAACTGCAAGGTCAGCAGTTCAAGCTCACCAGCTGCTTCTTGGAAACCATATACAGGGTTGCTATGGGTCAGAACCTACTCGACGGCACTTCACAACAACATAATACACTGTGGGAGTCCTGGTGTGGCGCTGCGGGTTAACGTGCTAGACTGTGAACTTGTTTGAACAGAAAGATCGGCAATTCGAGCTCACCATCTGCTCCTCGGAAACTCTATACAGGGATGGTACGGGTCGGAACCGACTCTACAGCACTTAATAATAATACATGTGAATGCTATAATCAGTTACTATAGG